TGGCAGATCATGGACTTGATGCATCCCAGTCTAGTACCATCCTCTGGACCATCCTTCTTCTCAGAAGAGGGTCTCTAGGCCTCTAGTGCATAGCACTCCATACACAGAAACCCCCCTTGCTGATTGGGATCCTTGCAGGGAAGGAGGTGGAGTCAGGGCAGACTGGGGAATGGGCCAGGGACAGAATTTGTGGAGGATGGGGGCGGGGGGAGGGAGGGGATAGCCCACATTCCAATCCCACAGATCGATGATCAAAAGTCAATAAACTGCCATGTTTGTTCATGGGTCCTACTGCGGATCCTGGAGAGCTGCTGCAGCCGGGCACTAATCATTCTCTTCTCTTCTCTTCTCTTCTCTTCTCTTCTCTTCTCTTCTCTTCTCTTCTCTTCTCTTCTCTTCTCTTCTCTTCTCTTCTCTTCTCTTCTCTTCTCTTCTCTTCTCTTCTCTTCTCTTCTCTTCTCTTCTCTTCTCTTCTCTTCTCTTCTCTTCTCTTCTCTTCTCTTCTCTTCTCTTCTCTTCTCTTCTCTTCTCTTCTCTTCTCTTCTCTTCTCTTCTCTTCTCTTCTCTTCTCTTCTCTTCTCTTCTCTTCTCTTCTCTTCTCTTCTCTTCTCTTCTCTTCTCTTCTCTTCTCTTCTCTTCTCTTCTCTTCTCTTCTCTTCTCTTCTCTTCTCTTCTCTTCTCTTCTCTTCTCTTCTCTTCTCTTCTCTTCTCTTCTCTTCTCTTCTCTTCTCTTCTCTTCTCTTCTCTTCTCTTCTCTTCTCTTCTCTTCTCTTCTCTTCTCTTCTCTTCTCTTCTCTTCTCTTCTCTTCTCTTCTCTTCTCTTCTCTTCTCCAGACTGAATAAACCCAAATCCCCCAGTCTATCCTCATAGGTCATGTGCTCCAGCCCCCTAATCATTTTGGTTGCCCTCCGCTGGATCCTCTCCAATGCGGCCACATTCCTTCTATGGTGGGGGGCCCAGAACTGGACATAATATTCCAGATGTGGCCTCACCAGAGCCAAATAAAAGGGAATAATCACTTCTCTGGATCTGCTGGCAATGCTCCTCCTAATGCACCCTAATATGCCATTATCCTTCTTGATTACAAGGGCACACTGTTGACTCATATCCAGCTTTTCATCCACTGAAATCCCCAGGTCCTTTTCTGCAGAACTGCTACTTAGCCGGTCAGTCCCTAGCCTGTAACAATGCTTGGGATTCTTCTGTCCCAAGTGCAGGACTCTGCACTTGTCCTTGTTGAACCTCATCAGATTTCTTGTGGCCCAATCCTCTAATCTGTCCAGTTCACTCTGGACCCTATCCCTGCCCATTTGTTATCTGATGGTAGCAATGCCATGTTTGCAGGGAGGCAGGGGACAGAGCTACCACAGAGGTACAATGCTTCATGCAGATCCTAGGGGCTGCTTTTCCACAAGGGAGCAAACCCTACTGCCCCATGAAAGGATGATTAAGGAAAAATCTCATCTCAGACATTCCTGTGCAGGCTTCCTCCCAAAGAATCCCCTTCACCCGCTTCATCTGGGAGGGAATAATCCAAGCCACTGAGTTCGGTGGGAGGAAGAGCAGCAGAATCTGGCCACACAGTGCACTTAAAAACAATCAGAACTGGTGCCTTTGGCGTGTCTCCCCTCGGACTCAAATCTCTCAGCCTGTGCTGCCATTGAATCACTTTCGAAGCCCTTGGCTAGGGTGCCTTCTAGAGCGTGTTCGCTGCTGACAGTGAAAAGCAGACAAGTTAACAGGTGCAGAAGCTGGAGTAGCTGCTGTCTAGCTGCGTATAAGAGAGACCTCTACTGGTCCAAGAGAGGAGAGTTATGCCAACATCAGCCCTGCTTTCTTTTAGCTCTCCAGCTAAGGGCTGCGACTCCAGCTACCCTCTATCTTCCCAGCCCTTTAAATCACCGTTATCAGGCTCTCAGTTGACTTAGCACAGATCTCAGAGACTTGCCCAGTGCCTTGCAAAACCAGCTGGAAGGCATGTGTGAAGTGGTCCAGCACAGTGACTGATTTGAGTCACGGCCACTCACACACTTCAGATCAGGATTAAGCCCTGGCAAGTTATATGCTGGGGAACAGTAAGAAGAAGAAACAGATGAAGCCATAGACTTGGCCCACAAAACTCCCTGTGTTCATTTCAATAGGATAAGCTGCATTACCTGTAGTACACCAATTTCCAAATAGCATGTTGGGATCATAGAATCCTAGGGCTGAAAGAGACTCAGGAGTCATCAAGTCCAGCCCCCTGCTAAGAGCAGGACCAACCCCAACTAAATCATCCCAGCCAGGGCTTTGTCAAGCCAGGACTTAAAATCCTCTAGGAATAGAGATTTCACCATCTCCCTAGGTGAAGCATTCCAGTGTTCACCACACTCCTAGTGAAACAGTTTTTCCTAGTATCTAACCTAGACCGCCCTCAGTGCAACTTGAGACCATTGCTCCTTGTTCTGTCATCTGTCGCCACTGAGAACAGCCGCTTTCCATCCTCTCTGGAAACCCCCTTCAGGAAGTTGAAGGCTGCTGTCAAATCCCCCCTCACTCTTCTCTTCTGTAGACTAAATAAGCTTAAATCCCTCAGCCTCTCCTCATAATTCATGTGCTCCATCCCCCTAATCATTTTTGTTGCCCTCCACTGGACTTTCAACGTGCCCACATCCTTTCTGCAATGGGGTGTATGTCTCCAGAATTGTTGTTATTAAGGTGTTTTCTGACAGAAAATGTTTTAAATACCCGTGAATGAAATAATCTCCTTACTCTCTAGCCAGAAGCATTCCTAACCAGCAACGCTGCCTGACTCACTGAAACTCAGAGGCAATGCGAGGAGCTGCTGAGATTGGCGTATAGAGCTTTCCCACGCCAGAGCAACTCTCTGAACAGTAAGATGCCAAAGCAGCTCCTCCTGCTTCATGGCCAGCAGAGAGATGCCTGTGCATATGTCCCACTGCAAAGCAGCCTTCCCGATGGGCTTAAGAAAAAGGCACAGAATAGGCTTGCAGTACAAAGAGAGCTATGAGGAAAGGTGAAGATGGGCAAACTAGAAAAAGAAGTCAGCCCTGCCCTTGTTCCTAAATCAGCTTGTTAGTAGTAAAGGACAGATAGGCAATTAACGAGGCTGAGACATACACTTCTAGTTGGAACAATTGCTCCGAGAAAATATCTCCTAGGGAGGTACCAACTGGGGATAGGAAGATCTGCAAAGTAAGTAACAGAATCTTACCTGTGCCTGGTAACAAACTCATCTTTAATGACTGATCTATGTGGTGTTGCTCCCTGGAGAAATTTGGACAATTGTTTCTAAAGGATACCGGTCAGTCAGCAGAAATTGGTGGCTCCTACCTGCCACCTAGAAGGAAGAGCAAGGTAGGGACTGCCAGACTGGATCAGTGCTGAAGTGTAGCTGGACCAGATCCTGCCTCTGACAGTGGCTTGCATCAGATGTGTCCGAGGAAGGTGCAAGAAACCCCACAGTGGGCAGATATGGGAGAATCTGCTTCTCGTGCAACTCTTATCCCAATTCCTGACAGAGAAGGACTGTTTTAAGCAGGAGGCTTTGAATCTCTTCTCAAACCCCTTGGTTAGCACCAACGATCACAATGCTAGGAATTGGTTCTCTGAGTTGTTAGTGATACTTTACTTTCTGATTAGCTCTGCCACAAAGTGGAATGAGACTTAGTTACCTGGGCTTGCCTGGCAAACTTTTCTGACCACCCTGTATCTGCCATGAGAGGAAGATGCCGACATGGAGGCTGAGTAGGAGGCTATCCTAGGAGAGCTAATGCTTGAAGGTGGACCAGATGCACATGGGTTCTGAAAATGAGACTCTCAAAGCAGCCTCAGTGGTTCACTGCACTTAATGAGAACCTGGACCATCCTCACTTCGGACGAGAGGGAGAGCAAAGAAATGATAAACAAATGTATTACCGGTAACAACTCCCTGAGGAGCTAGGCAGAAGAGAATGCATCAAATGCTTCTATCTGTTTATTAACAACCCTATGCACTTGGTTAGCACCTTTACGATGATCACTGATGCCTGCATGCAAGGCACTCTACAGACAAGTATGAAGCCAATCCTCTAATGACAGCCTCTCTAAGCATTTCAGAGACTGTAATGACTTATACCTCCAACACTGAACACCACTGTGTTGTTGGACCCATTTCACAGATGGGGAAAAAGAGGGATTAAGAGACTTACCCACGGCCACATGTAGAAAGCTTTCAGCAGCACTGAAAATAGGAATCAGATCTCCTGTGTGCTAATAATGCAAACGAATCAGAAGACCTTCACCTCTCTCTTTTTCTCCATGGCTGTACGGACAAGCCTCCCAGCTTCAATCCATTTGACCACTATGCTCTGAGTTCCTGATTGCTGCCTTGTCACAGCAGGGCTGCTGTGGTGTTGCTTGTGTCTCTTGGGAACACTATCCATGCCAAAATGGATAGCTCAAAAATCCTAACTCCCCGCACCTGGAAGTCTTCTCTAGGGGGAGACACAAAGCTGACATTGCATTCCATCCCCTGAAGAGGGATGCCAGATCAGTATGAGCTGGTGCATCAGTCAAAAATTCACACTCTCTATGGCAAAGCTGTCACTAGCAACTTGGCTACCCCTTGGAGACTTTCTAGTAACTGAACTGTTCACAACCTCGTGACTCAGGTTCTGATCTCAGCCACCCCAATGGAGAGCAGCAGTAGAGCCAGCAAAGAGAAGTTTCACAGGTGGGATCCAGATTATAATCTGACCCTATGCTTTCCTACCTGGTACCTTCTGCTGTCAGCATAAGGGAGATCACATGCTAGTAATACATGCATCTCTGCACTTATTCCTGCCAAATGCAGCCTTTCCTACTTATCAATTATGTTCATTCCTTCCAGACACAGAATCTCTTGGTGAAAAATCCCTCCAGCAGACAACTGCATCCCCTGGTCCCCATCATTCAATTCCTCCCCTCCCATATCTCTCATCATTCCTTGATATTTTTTTTTTAATCACTCTTTACTTACGAGCTCTGGCTTCAATCTCAGAGGCAATAAAAAGCAGCAAAAATCCCAGGCAAAAGGAAAGCTCTCTGATTTCAGGAATCATTCTTCCTTTCAGGGGAGTGGAGGGGGGGAAAAACCAAAACCCCAAACACTTGCTTTGCAGAAAGTTTAAAATGGATTCAATATCCAAAAAGCTACTTAAGAGCAGCAGCAAGCGACCACAGAGTCAGCATATGAGACACACGCAGGACACGGCTAATTCCTTCTTTACACACAGCTCCCAGCAGCAGTTTATTTTAGTCTCATCAAAGGCGCCTCCTTTTGGGGAAAGTGAGGAACTTTATGAGTTGCTACTTTAAAAAAAAAAATCAGCACTTTTTTTTTATTTCCCACAATTTTTTTCAAGTTTGGTGAAATTCCTCTGCTTCTTGGTTGCATTAGGGGAGTGGTTTCAGTGAGGAGGATTTGGAAAGAGTTGAAACATTTTAACCCCTCCCTTTCTGCAGCCTTCCCAGGGATATCTCCCCCCACCCCGTCACGGTAAATAACATTCCTAGGATTTTTTTCCCCACCCGTGCAGTTTTCTCCCTTCCCCCCAAATACCTTATCCCTTCGGTGGGTGAAAAATATATATGGAAAGTTTCTTACAACGCACCAAAGGCTGTACGGTCAGTTTCACATCTGATGTGTCCACAGCAGGGGAAACATATCCTGCTTTCAAGATTGTCTTCATTGCAGTTTACCCAAGTACATGCACCCAGCCGAGCCAACCCTGGGTGTGAATGTCGACTCTGCTAAGCCAAGCTCAAATCACAGCCGGGTAGCTGCACCCATGCTGGTGCTGCATTAACCTCTCAGGTGCTTGGCTTTCTGGGGCTTGGTTCTTGCTGCTGCACTGAGATGTGCCACTCTTGAAATTGTTTCCCATTGTGGGAGAACTTGCCTGTCTTTCCTGGGACCCTATGAGGAAGCCATAGCCTGCCCACACAATAAACCACAATATTTGTGGCTCAGCACACCAAGAGGAAATCAATGCTCTACTAGGTCTTTTCATCACTAGCTGCTTTGTTCCTATCAAAGATGGGGCCTGTGCACTGAAAGTCCAGAGAGTGAGTTTCATTCCTGGCTTAGGCACAAATACCCTGTTTGCCCTTCTGGAAATCACATAGCACTCTGTGGCTCAGTTTCCTCTCCTGAGAAATATGGATAATGTTGTCCTTTCTCCCAAGGCTGCTGGAATGCTTTGGGGAGTCAATGGTGGCCAAGTCAATGCTATTACTTCTACCACATACTCCATGTGCCTGGCACAGAAGAATAGAGAAGGACTTAGGGTGAGATCCTGGTGGGCACGCCAGCTGCTTTGCATTCCTCGGCCTCTACTTCTCTGCTACCCCAGCTTCCAATACAAGGAACACAGCCAGGCAAAGGGAGGACTGATGGAGCATTTATATGTGCTGGTCTCTCTGACTTATGCCGGAGATCAGTCCAGGACCCTGCACTGCCCAGTGTCAGGGGAGCAGAGTGGTATCTTAAAGCCACCATTCATGTATCACTGTCTCAGTACTATACTCAGAGTAGTTCATTCACCTCAGAGGATGTGCATCAAGGCCCTTGCTCCAAAGGGTTTACAATCCAAGTTTCATAGATTCAAAGGCAGGAGGCACCACTGTGATGGACAGGAGGAGTGCTGACCCGCACTCGGTGACTAAAGGGTTAAATTCAGGTAGTTGGCAGGGGGCCAGAAGAATGAACGGGATACAGCGCTGAAATCTGAATTGGATATAGATACCTGGTCTGCTCTTTCTTTGTGTGACTTCTAAGTTCAGGGCTTGAAGGAACAACATGCAGTAATCAGAATTACCATGCCTACAAGGAATATTGGGCATGTGAGTGGACTGGACCATGAAGGATTGCGCAAAGCTTCTCTGTGCAAAATCTATGTGCTCTCCCTTCTGCCCCCCGCATTCACTATCTAAGCTGCACCGAGAAACACTATGTACTTTGTGTTTTTAATTTTTCTCAGTTGTTCTGTAACACCTAGCAAACAAGTATGCTTTATTAAGGATATCTTTTTGTTTTGTTAATAAAATCACCCTTTTTAAAGGCGATGATTTGATTCTTGTGTCCTGGAAGGTAACAGGAGGACTCTGTGTGTGTATGCCTGCTAGCCTGACAAGTCAGCTATCAGAGAAACAGGGGTTTTTTCTGTGTTTTTGATGTTTTTTCAAGCTCTCTTGTGGCAAAAGAGCTTGGGATACCCCTAGGGAAGGAATTCAAGTGTTTCTTCCTGTTTTTCAGGGTTTAAATCACTTGATGGTGGCAGCTACCTCCCAAAGTCTGTGGAGGTTTGTAAGCAGAGCCTATAGAGGCAAAGTATTTAAGGCCTCTTGCGGGCTCCCATCGTTTGCACTCAGAGTGCCAGAGTGGGGAACAGCTCTAACAACCGCCATGAAGGTTTAATCTGATGTTTTATATAAAAGAGGCCAAAATTTAACTCAGTAGTTCCTGTATCAAGCCCAAATATTCTGGTTAAGCTAGAGCATATTGTTGTGCTGGGGGGGTTGGACAGCCACACCACCACCTTGTTGGAACAGCTGGGCAGGATAGCGGCCTTCCATTCATGCTAAACGACAGAGCAATTAAAAATGCCCCTTTGTTTAATGATAGATGAAACAATGCAAAACCACCACCCAAGAATTGGAGCACATGCAGCCTAGGGCAGCAGCTCTGTTATGTGTGCCAAGTGTTTTCCTTGGAGTCTGTTAACAAATGTTGGGGTTGGGGATTGATTTCACTGCAACTATGTGATTGTGCATGTAAGAGAGAAGCAGCAGAAATCCAAGGGGACAGCCAGAACAAGCATAGGGAGCAGGGATCTAAGGGAAAGCCTAGAGAGAAAGAGGCTTGGAACTGTGAGCAAAGAATCTGTATCTAGCTGTTTGATTCCTATTGTGCTCAGGGAAACAGAATTTTGCACATTCTTTGTAAATATTCAGGATTGCATCAAAGAAATACCCAACTCGATCAATCTCTCCTCTTCACTGAAATAACCTGTAAGACTCCTAACACTGTCTAAACACTCAGGATAAAAGAGGTAAGTGTCTTTTAGGCCATGTCTGTACTTACCGGAAGTTTGACTCAAGATGTGCAACTTCAGCTACGTGAATTCCATAGCTGGAGCCAATGTACCTTGATTCGAATTTTGGCGCTGTCCCCACCGTGGGAGGCCAACGGGAGAAATGCTCCTGTTGAGGAGCATTCCCTTACTCCTCACGATGAGTCAGAGTACTGGCACCAATGGGGTCAGCCTCAGGGCACATCTACACAGAAGGGCTAAAGCCGAAATAAGCAATGCAACTTCAGCAACGTAAATTGTGTAGCTTAAGTCAAAATAGCTTATTTCAGCTTTTGCCCCGGTCTACACAGCAGGAAGTCCAAGGAAGAGCCCTCTTCCTTCGACTTTCCGTAGACCTCGTAAAATGAGGGTTACAGGAGTCGGAGTAAGAACTCCTCCAACTCGACATTATTTTGACATCATGTCAAAACAACTGCTTGTAGTGTAGACATACCCTCAGAGTTTGATTTAGTGGGTCTTTACTAGACCCACTAAATTGATCGATTTCTGGAGTGTTGATCCACTGGTAAGTATAGAGGTGGCCTTAGAAACACATCTAGTCATGCTTTAAATACTTCAGGTGATGGAGAATCCACCCTGTCTCTAGGTAAAGTTGTTCCAATGATTAAGCACCTTCATTTAAAATAAAGTTCCTTATTTCTAATCTGAACTTCAGCTTCTAGTATTTGATCTTCGGATGCCTTTGTGGGCTTGATTTAGGAGCCCTCGAATAAATTTTATGTCTTTTCTGACCCCGCTCCAGTGTTTTGACAACCTTTCTGAAGTATAGACAACAGACTTCCAGAATTAATGGTCTCATTAATAGAACTCTGCATGGATAAAAAATTAGCATCCACATCTGCAAAAATGATCCACAGATATCCACATCCACGGATGTAGACACATGCAGATATAAAGTGGATATCTAGATTTGCAGGGCTCTACTCATTAATGCCATGTATCAAGGTAATACCACCTCCTTAATCTTATTATCTTGCTTATCTATCCAAAGAGAGCATTAGTCATTTTCAGACCAGCTTTGCACTGGGAGTTCATGTTTAGTTGATTATTCACCATGAACCTTATGTCATTTTCAAAGTAATTGCTTTCCAGGATATGGGCCCTCATCCTAAAAGCATGACTACAGCCTCTCCCTGAGTTACGAACGAGTTACGGACCAAACACTTGGCCATAACTCGATCTGTTTGTAACTCGGACTCCATTGAGTTACACACGACCGCGCTGTTTGTAAGAGTGGGTCACGTTCATAACTCGGGGACTGCCTTTTACAACCGCTCCATGGGAGCTTTGATCGTAAGTGCAAATGGTAGTAACTTGACCGTTCGCAACTCGGGGAGCGGCTGTACATGCTTTATTCGTACATATAAGTCATTTCAGTTGACTGTATAAAAACATACATAGGTTGAACCTTTCTAGTCCAGACTGGCACTGAACCAGATAATTTGCAGAACCATGGGAAGAAAATATTGTTCAGCATTATTCCCAGCACTTCCACTGCTTACTAGACTCTTACAAGACATTTAGGGGTAAATTAGAGCTAAATAACAGCACAGAACACTAGGATCCAGGATGGTGGTTGTAAACAAACTTTGTGGGACCATGGGAAACATGGCGACAGTCATGATATGTGGATATCCAGCTAACTGAAATCATGCTGGACCACTGATGTTGCCAGAACAGAGAGTGCCGGACTGGAGAGGGTCAGCCTGTATTGTTCAAGTGATCCAAATCATTACAAATAACTGAACTGTCATTTGTATTTACCATTCTACCAATGTTTCTGTCATCTAGAAATGTTTCCAGAAATGATTCAATAATTTCTTCCAGATAGTTGATGATATTAATGATATTGAAAGGCTTTGGGTCAAGAAAAAACTTGGAATTGCACAAGAGAGACCCTCTGAGCTGTATTCCTAAAGAAGGCAGCACTAATATTTGAAAACATTTATAAAAGTGCATCTCTCTGCTGACAAGGTTATGAAAATATGTATCTCAGGGTGCGTCTAGACAGCACCCTTCTATCGGAATAAGCTACGCAATTTTCACTATGCAAATTGCGCTATGCAAATTGCATAGCTTATTCTGAGTCTGGGTTGAAAGAGCTTATTTTCTAAATAAGGTACTATTCCGACAAATCCCGTAACCCTCCTAGAACGATGGTTAGAGGGATGCCGGAATAGCACACCCACTATTTTGGAAAATAGCAGGAGTGTTTAAAGACTCAGCACTGCTATTTTGT